GGTAAGCCCCACCTCCTTTATGACGTCACGGGGGGAGGGGGAAAGGGGCGGGGCCGCGGCGTTTCTGTAACGGGACCGGACCATTAAAACCTCCCCGGGAGCGGCGTGAGCGTGTGTGACCCCAAAACCCCCCCGGGACCGCAAAACCCCCCCGGGACCCCAAAGCGCCCCCGGGACCCCAAAACTCCCCCGGGACCCCCCCGGGGACCCCAAAACAGCGCCGGGTCCCCCCTCCCCCAACGCGTTCCCGCCTTTCCACGCGCTCCCCTCCTCCCCCCCCGCCACAATGGTCTCTTCCACGCGCCCAAGGGGCGGGGTCGGAGCGGGCAGCCAATGGCGTGGCGGCGGCGCGGTCACGTGGGGGGCGGAGCTGGTTAAAAGCGGCGGGGCGGGGCGGGCGCGGCCTCATTCCGGGCCCGTCCGGCGCCGCTCGGGTGAGGCTGGGCCGCTCCTATCGCGACTCCTCTCGCTTCTCCCCCTCCTTCTGTCGCGATAGTCGCGACTTTCGCTGCTGCCGGGCCGCTCTTTTCCCTTCCCCCCCCTCCCCGCTTCTTTTCCTCTCCTTTTCCCGCCTCGGCACCCTGAGGGCCGCGCGGGCTCCGCGCATGCGCGCGCGGGCGGCGGGAGCGGCGCTTCCGGGGGGCGCCCACGTGGCCGGGCTGGGGGGGGGAGGGGAAAGAACCACGTGGGGGTGGCCGTGACGTCATGGGGGACGCCGCGTGACGTCAGCAGGAGGGGACGCGTGGAGCTGATGGGATTGGGGGGGCGCTGAGGGGGTGTGACGTCACTGGAGGGCGCGCGGGAGGTGTGTGGTGATGTCACTGGGGTGTGACGTCACTGGAGGCGGTGCGGGGGGCGGTGGTGACGTCGTAGAGGGGGAGGGCTTGGCGCTGAGGGCTTTGACGTCACGGGGGTGTTCTTTACGGGGGTTGTGACGTCAGAAACCGCTCCGTGGGCAGGTTATTACGTCACCGCAGGGGCAGGGCCCCCGCCCTATGACGTCACGGCCAGCCCCGCCCCCCCACGCATGGCGGCGGAGGAGGGGAAGTTGTTCGTGGGGGGCCTCAACTACGACACGGACGAGCAGGGCCTGGAGCAGCACTTCAGCTCCTTCGGGCGCCTCTCGGAGGGTGAGACCCCAAAATGTCCTAAAATAGCCCAAAAATATCCTAAAGCCGCCCTAAAGTACCCCAAAAACTGCCCCCAATCCCCCTGGGGCAGCACTTCAGCTCCTTCGGGCGCCTCTCGGAGGGTGAGACCCCAAAATGTCCTAAAATAGCCCAAAAATATCCTAAAGCCGCCCTAAAGTACCCCAAAAACTGCCCCCAATCCCCCTGGGGCAGCACTTCAGCTCCTTCGGGCCCATCTCCGAGGGTGAGAGCCAAAAACAGCCAAAAATGTCCTAAAATATCCTGAAATACCCCCAAAATACCAGAAAATATCCTAAACCCGCCCTAAAATACCCCAAAAACTGCCCCCAAACCCCCTGGGGCAGCGCCTCAGCTCCTTCGGGCCCATCTCCGAGGGTGAGAGCCAAAAACAGCCAAAAATGTCCAAAAATAGCCCAAAAATATCACAAAATATCCTAAAACCTCCCTAAAGTACCCCAAAAACTGCCCCCAAACCCCCTGGGGCAGCGCCTCAGCTCCTTCGGGCTCATCTCCGAGGGGGAGAGCCAAAAACAGCCAAAAATTATCCAAAAATATCCTTAAAATACCCTGAAAACAATATAAAATATCCTGAAAGTACCCTAAAATATCCCAAAAATATCCTGGAATATCCTAAAGTCACCCTAAAATAGCCCAAAAACTGCCCCCAAACCCCCTGGGGCAGCACTTCAGCTCCTTCGGGCCCATCTCTGAGGGGGAGAGCCAAAAATGCACCAAAAATGTCCTAAAATGGCCCAAAAATACCAAAAGTACCCCAAAACCAGCCCAAAAATATCCAAAAACAGCCTTAAAATATCCCAAAATTATCATAAAATATCAAAAAAAAAATCCTAAAACATCTCTGGGGCAGAGCTTCAGCTCCTTCGGGGTCGTCTCTGAGGGGGAGAGCCCAAAATGCACCAAAAATGTCCTAAAATAGCCCAAAAATACCAAAATTACCCCAAAACCAGCCCAAAAATATCCCAAAAAAACTTTAAATATCCCAAAATTATGATAAAATATTAAAAAAAAAAAATCCTGAAACATTCCTGGGGCAGAGCTTCAGCTCCTTCGGGGTCGTCTCCGAGGGCGAGGCCAAAATCAGCCAAAAATACCCCAAAAATCCCTAAAAACTGCCCAAAATCCCCAAATCCAACCCTCGGGGTTTTTTTTTGGGTTCCCTTGGGGGGATTTTTTTTTTTAATTTATTTTGGGATTTTTTTGGGGGGGTGTTTTGGGGATTTTTGGGGCGTTTTGGCGTATTTTGGGGTCCTTTTTTGGGTGTTTTGGGGCTGCTTGGGACCATTTTGGGGCTGGTTTTGGGGTTCTTTTGGGGATATTTGGATTCTTTTTCGGGGTCTTTTTGGGGCTGGTTTTGGGGTTATTTTGGGACCATTTTGGGGTTGTTTTGGGAATGTTTGGGTTATTTTTTGGGGCTATTTTGGGGCTGGTTTTGGGGTTTTGAGGATGTTTTGGGTTCCTTTTTGGACCATTTTGGGGCTGTTTTTGGGGTTCTTTTGGGGATATTTGGATTCTTTTTCGGGGTCTTTTTGGGGCTGGTTTTGGGGTTATTTTGGGACCATTTTGGGGTTGTTTTGGGAATGTTTGGGATGTTGGGAGGGATTTGGGGGAGTTTTGGGGATTTAAAGGGGAGTTTTGGGGGATTTACTTGTAGCAATTTTGGGGCTGTTTGGGGTCATTTTGGGGCTGTTTTGGGGTTATTTTGGGACTGGTTTTGGGGCCATTTTGGGGCTGGTTTTGGTGTTTTTTGGGGCTGTTTTGGGGTTATTTTGGGATTGGTTTTGGGGCCATTTTAGGGCTGGTTTTGGGGTTATTTTTTGACTGGTTTTGAGGTTATTTTAGGGCTGGTTTTGGGGCCATTTTGGGGTTGTTTTGGGGATATTTTTGGGCTGGTTTTGGGGCCATTTTGGGGCAGGTTTTGGGGATGTTTTGGGTTCCTTTTTGGGGCTGTTTTGGGGTTATTTTGGGGATATTTTTGGGCGGGTTTTGGGGTTATTTTAGGACCATTTTGGGGTTATTTTGGGGCTGTTTTGGGGTGGGTTTTGAGGCTGTTTTGGGGCTGTTCTGGGGTTATTTTGGGGATATTTTTGGTCTGGTTTTGGGGCTGTTTTGGGGATATTTTTGGGCTGGTTTTGGGGATGTTTTGGGTTCCTTTTTGGGGCTGTTTTGGGTTGTTTTGGGGCTGTTCTGGGGTTATTTTGGGGATAGTTTTGGTGCTGTTTTGGTCTGGTTTTGGGGATGTTTTGGGGCTGTTTTGGGGTTATTTTGGGTTACTCTGGGGCCGTGTGGGTGACGCCCTGGCCGTGGCAGTGGTGGTGGTGAAGGACAGGGAGACCCAGCGCTCGCGGGGCTTCGGCTTCGTCACCTTCAGCAACCCCGAGCACGCCAGCGACGCCATGCAGGCCATGAACGGAGAGGTGGGGACACCGGGGACACACCTGGGGCACTGGGGGGACAGCTGGGACTGCTTGGGACACTGGGGACAGCTGGGACACACCTGGGGATACTGGGGACAGCTGGGGACACACCTGGGGACACACCTGGGACACTGGAGACACACCTGGGACAGCTGGGGACAGCTGGGACACACCTGGGGACAGCTGGGGACACACCTGGGACAGCCAGGGACATACCTGGGGACACCAGGAAGAGCTGAGGACACACCTGGGGACACGCGGGGACACTGGGGACAGCTGGGGACTGATGGGGACAGCTGGGGACTGATGGGGACACTGGGGACACCCGGAGAGGTTTGGGGATACCTGGGGGACACCTGAGTGGAAGTGGGGACACCATTGAGGGGGTTTGGGGACCCCTGGGGGGACATTTGGTGTCCCCAGGGGGGCATTTTGGTTATTTTGGGGTCCTTTTTTGGGTGTTTTGGGGCTGCTTGGGACCATTTTGGGGCTGGTTTTGGGGTTCTTTTGGGGATATTTGGATTCTTTTTTGGGGTTATTTTGGGGGTAATTTTGGGGTTATTTTGGGACCATTTTGGGGTTGTTTTGGGAATGTTTGGGTTATTTTTTGGGGCTATTTTGGGGCTGGTTTTGGGGTTTTGAGGATGTTTTGGGTTCCTTTTTGGACCATTTTGGGGCTGTTTTTGGGGTTCTTTTGGGGATATTTGGATTCTTTTTCGGGGTCTTTTTGGGGCTGGTTTTGGGGTTATTTTGGGACCATTTTGGGGTTGTTTTGGGAATGTTTGGGTTATTTTTTGGGGCTATTTTGGGGCTGGTTTTGGGGTTACTTGTAGCAATTTTGGGGCTGTTTGGGGTCATTTTGGGGCTGTTTTGGGGTTATTTTGGGACTGGTTTTGGGGCCATTTTGGGGCTGGTTTTGGTGTTTTTTGGGGCTGTTTTGGGGTTATTTTGGGGTTGGTTTTGGGGCCATTTTAGGGCTGGTTTTGGGGTTATTTTTTGACTGGTTTTGAGGTTATTTTAGGGCTGGTTTTGGGGCCATTTTGGGGTTGTTTTGGGGATATTTTTGGGCTGGTTTTGGGGCCATTTTGGGGCAGGTTTTGGGGATGTTTTGGGTTCCTTTTTGGGGCTGTTTTGGGGTTATTTTGGGGATATTTTTGGGCGGGTTTTGGGGTTATTTTAGGACCATTTTGGGGTTATTTTGGGGCTGTTTTGGGGTGGGTTTTGAGGCTGTTTTGGGGCTGTTCTGGGGTTATTTTGGGGATAGTTTTGGGCTGGTTTTGGGGCTGTTTTGGGGATATTTTTGGGCTGGTTTTGGGGATGTTTTGGGTTCCTTTTTGGGGCTGTTTTGGTTTGGTTTTGGGGCGGGTTTTGGGGATGTTTTGGGGCTGTTTTGGGGATATTTTTGGGCTGGTTTTGGGCTGGTTTTGGGGCTGTTTTGGGGTTATTTTGGGTTACTCTGGGGCCGTGTGGGTGACGCCCTGGCCGTGGCAGTGGTGGTGGTGAAGGACAGGGAGACCCAGCGCTCGCGGGGCTTCGGCTTCGTCACCTTCAGCAACCCCGAGCACGCCAGCGACGCCATGCAGGCCATGAACGGAGAGGTGGGGACACCGGGGACCCTGGGGACACTGGGGGGACAGCTGGGACACTGGGGACAGCTGGGACACACCTGGGGATACTGGGGACAGCTGGGGACACACCTGGGGACACACCTGGGACACTGGAGACACACCTGGGACAGCTGGGGACAGCTGGGACACACCTGGGGACAGCTGGGGACAGCTGGGACACACCTGGGGACAGCTGGGGAAACACCTGGGACAGCCGGGGACATACCTGGGGACACCAGGAAGAGCTGAGGACACACCTGGGGACACCCGGGGACACTGGGGACAGCTGGGGACTGATGGGGACAGCTGGGGACTGATGGGGACACTGGGGACACCCGGAGAGGTTTGGGGATACCTGGGGGACACCTGAGTGGAAGTGGGGACACCATTGAGGGGGTTTGGGGACACCTGGGGGGACATTTGGTGGGGACACCCGGGGACACCTGGGGACAGCTGGGGACTGATGGGGACACTGGGGACACCCGGAGAGGTTTGGGGATACCTGGGGGACACCTGAGTGGAAGTGGGGACACCATTGAGGGGGTTTGGGGACACCTGGGGGGACATTTGGGGTCCCCAGGGGGGGTTGGGGGCAGAACTGGGGACCTGAGCAGGTTTGGGGCACTCAGAGGGGGCTGGGGGATCCCGGAGGGCACCAAGGTGACCCCAAATGTCCCCAAATGTCCCCAAATGTCCCCGCAGTGCCTGGACGGGCGGCAGATCCGCGTGGACCACGCCGGGAAATCGCCCCGGGGGTCCCGGGGGGGCTTCGGGGGCGGCCGGGGCCGGGCCAGGGGCTACGGCCGAGGTGAGCACGGGGGGAGGGGGCTTGGGGGGCTGGGCTTACCATTTTTGAAGATG